TGGGGGAAGAAGAAACATTTCGCACTCTGAGCGGGTTTATTTCGTGCTGTTTCAAGTACATTATTTGCACCGTTTTTCCGAATTTCATATACGAGAAAACAAGACTACTTGAACATTGAATAGGCCCTAGGGTGTGAAATAAACTTCAAGACTTCAAGAACTAACGTAGGCCTAGGGTCAAAAATTCGTGGCGCAACTTATTGTCAAATACCTCCTCGACTATCGAACACAAACTCTCCAGCTTTTGCACAATGAGTTTTATCAATTTGTCCCTGTTAGCTGTATTTTAGAAAACTACTTTTTGATGACTAATTTGAAACCCAAGTGGGTCCTACAGGTTTTGAAAGGTTTAGGCCCCCCCTACAGCTTGGGCAAAATCGCTTTTAAAAGCAAGACCATCATTATTATTTTTTCTTAATCGGGACATTATGCTTATTGAACGTATTTTTTGAGAACCTAGAGCGCAAAAAAAAGAGTGTTCACTATAAAAATTAATTTCTTGTAACAAGTTTTGCCACTTATAAGTGTCATTGGTAATTTGATCAGCTGGGACGTAGGCAAATCTTTGGACGTAGGCAGTCAAAAATTCTTGACGCAACTTATCCTCAAATATTTCTTTAACAGGTGAACCAATATCCACCATACTTTGCTTAGCAATTTGTATCAATTTGTCTTAACCAAATCATATTTTTCCATAACAAGTGAGGCTAGATTTAAAAACTTTTCTTCATAAATTTATATAAAATACTTGAAATCTCTGTCACGCGTAAAATGGGATTGTTCACAGCACTTCCCGCTTCACACTCACATTTTGATTACGCATTATGGATTACGAAACAGTTCCTGAATGACAATTTTTACTTGCTAAACTTGTAAGAAGAAATTATTTTTATAGTGAAGAAATTGTTTATACTTTTAGGCCCCAAGGGCTCTCAAAACATTTATTGTTCAATAAGCATAGGGCCTATATAATGTCCCGATTTTAAAAAAACATGACTGACTTGCTATTAAAAGGAATGTATTGCCCCAGCTGTGAACATTTAAAAATCTGCAGAAAACACCCACTTGGATTTTTTAATAGCATTTATTAAGGAATTTTCTAGAATACAGCTTGCAGGTGTTTACAAAAATGTTGAGAATAAGTTGTGCCACGAATTTTTTGCAGCCTATTTTTTAGGCTTATATTCGTTTCGTTTCTTTGCTTGTACCTGTACAGGTCTATGTTTTACAATAATATTGGACATGGTTGGTAGGATTTTTCACGCCTTCGTGTAACTTGAAGACTTGAACAATTCGCGACTAGTTTTATTACTGGTTCATGGTAAGCGCTTTCTGTTTAAAACGAAAGTTTGTGGAAGAGTTGATATCTGCCCAGTGGTGGATTTGTTTTAAAAAAGTTACTGTACTACGTCTAGATCTCTAGAGGATTTATTTTGCTTGGGCCAACTTGGGGAACTGGAACTACGAATGGGGGAAGTGGGAAGTGCCAGTGGGGAAGGACTCGGGCCTAAGATCTCTAGTCTACTTCTAGATCTAGATCTAGATATATAGATATAGAATCTAGATAGATCTAGATTCTAGAGATCTAGATATCTAAACTACTTCTTGATGATTGTCTGTTTTTGTACTATCTAATCTAGATCTAGAATCTAGTAATAGTAGGGACTAGATTCTAGATCTAGATCTAGATCTAGATTTCTAGATCTAATCTAGTCGAGACCGAGAAGTGATGTCCCGGCTCCAGAGGCAGAGGGCGGCTATTTTGACAATTTAACCCGAGAAGCGCTCAGCCTCAGCATTTCACCGGAAGTGACCTGGCAAAAATGCCCGCCACCACGGCCGATCGGTTGTAAACATGGGGGTTTGGGCGGGGGGTATCAGCTGAGATACGAGAGATCTGCTACTGAAAAATGACTAACAGAGTCTAACGGCTTAAGAATAAGAGATAGATCTAGTAAAGTTGAGTCTGGCTCGCTAAATCAGCGTCAGCGAGTAAGGAACTACTCGCTGGCACTATCCGCAAACAAGCGGACGGGTAACGAGCCGTCTGCTTGTGAAGAGTAGTTCGCTACACGCTACACATCAAACAGAGACAACAGTTCAAGCGAGCGGACTCCATGCATTCGAGCAGACAGATGGGGAGCGACTCCTTCCATTGCATACTACTTTCACCCCTCCCCCTCGAAAAAAAAAAGTCACCCTCCTGCCCTACATTAAGCTGGGGGTTCATGGCGGAAATTTCTTAATCCCCCCCCCAAGGCCTTGGGAATTCTACAACTTCGCCTTCACGATAAATTGGAACATGCACAGTGTGACCCACACACGAGGTGAAAGGTTACACACATGCTCTACGTCACCAGCCTCTCTCACTCCCTGTGACACTGCTAGTGGTTTGAAACTCTACGCCTAATTAACAAACAATAGACGATGGACCTAACCTCGCGTTGAGTATCTCGTCTGCTAGAGTTCGTCCATTCGCCCGCCCGCTCAGTGAATAAAATTGTGGAGCGGACCCAAGAAACGAACTGTCTTGTTGTTCGCTGTCGGCTCGCAAGGTGTCCGTTACCCGCTCGCTCATACTGAGTCCGCAAGTAACGAACCCGTCCGTCCACCTGCTCGCCCCAACTCAAGATAAAAGGCATATAAAACGGTATCTTATCATACAGCTGATAGAATGAGAGCCATTCAAAAATGGTCAATAAATTCAAAGCGCAAAACGCGTTGAACTCAACAATTAGTACATTAGCACGGCTAAACAAGTGAAAACACATAGCGTGTAGTTGCTCAGCTGGACCGTTTCACTTTATCGATCGATATCTTGGCTAACAGACGCTCTAAGAGGTCAAGATAACTTGCAAAGTCATTGTTCACTATTTATAACTTTGACGTGTAATTTACTACATCGTTTTCCAAGGAATACTGAAATTTTCCATTGAAAAAGGTCAGCGTCTCTATGCCCTTTATAGGGCCTGCGCGCTTCCCGGTGGAAGTAGGTCATCCCTAGATTCTATATAGGGCCTGCGCGCTTCCCAGGTAGCCCTGCTCACGCCCTTTATATAGGGCCTGCGCGCTTCCAAGGTTAAAATCAATTTGCGAATCCCCAGATTGGGCGCTTTTTCGGAAGGCTAGTTTTCACCACATGTGACTAAATAAATGTAGAATGACGCAAACTATTTTTCGGTAAGGTGACCATCTTGTGTGATGTCGGATACACCTCCATTCAGGTGACTACATCTAAATATAGCCGACCGTATTCCACCAAAGATCATGTGTAGAGAATCTGTGATGGCACTCACAACACTTTGGTGTGATGTCTTTCCAGGAATACTGGTAATGTGATTGATTTGGTGCTCCGATGATGCTGCTGCTTATTTTATATTATCTCTTCTGCACATCGCTCCCGGGGGAGGGGGGGGGGTAATCTTCCGAGGTCTTTACAGTTATTTTCGCGCGTTTTTTTGTCTTTGCGTTTACTGTGTTTCAATTTAAAGCATCTCTACCGGAATTTCGAATTGTTATTAACATCCGAAAACCTTGTCAGTAGAGCATGACTAATGGGCTGCAGCTAGCTGCAAGTGTGAAATTTTATCGTGCGAAATGCATCGATATGGATAATACGTCAAGCCACAGACCCTACATGTCATTCCATGCGGTATTTCCAAAGATTCTCTACTACACAAGCTTTGGTATCACCACAGCCTTCTAAAAATAGTCTGTGGGTATCCTACAGATGATATCACATTACTAAAATCAGTCACCCATCAGGCAGGTGCATCGTTCTACGTTCAGCCGCATGTGTTCTCACCCCCCCAATTAGATCTATTATTCATGGTTTGGGTCCCAAGAGTAGAGGGATTTCGGGGGGGCTTGCCCCCCTGACCTAATAGACATATGGAGGATTTTTCGCCTTTGTCCAAGAAGGCTAGGTGTAGGTCTTTCCTACTAGAAGATTAGGGGTGTGGCGGAAAGACAGCAGTAAGAAGGGGCCAAGGAGGAGCAGTTAGAAAGGCTGCAGAAAGAGTCAGGAGCCCAGAGGAAGGGGGCAAAGGAAGTGAGGGGGTGGGAGCAGAAAATGGAGGGGAAAAAAGCAGAAGTCCGTACATTGCTAGAGAGCAGGAAAAGAGGTGAAAGGCGAAAGGAGACCATTGTAGAGAAGAAAATTTTTCGGCCACTACCCGGATTCGAACCTGTGACATTTGAATGAGAGAAGAACACCTTAACCTCTAGGCCACGAGAGCCCCCTACTGTTTCTAGTCTTGACTGCACTAACGTCTCTCAACAAATGTTGTTCTAATTTAGATTTGGGGATCCTGATGCTGTACTGTGCTGGCTTGGATCTTGAGTTCTATCATCACCATCAGGGGCTCCCATAAGGCAGGGCTCCCTTGCCCATCTTAGATAGGGAGAGTTGAAATTAATTAATCAAAGTTCAGACTCGTTGCATTAACCATGTAATAGAAGGTGAAAAGAAGAGTAAAATAAGCTTCTTGTTTAAAAGCTCCTCATCTATCCAAAGGGGTTAGAACAGGTTGATTTGTACAATTCTCTTTTAGGAATAGTATGTGAAATTTTTTAACTACATCAGAGTAGAACATGAGTGACGAGCCTTCTTAGTTTCCTAGATCTGGCACTTTAAAAACAGAGATTGTTAATTTTTATCCCCAAATGAAGTTATTTTTCATGCAGTGGTAAAAAATGTCTCTTTCTTTCAGCATTTTTTAACATCAGGTGAATCTTGTAGAGTCCAGTGAGAGTTTCTAAAATATTTCATAATTACATTTTCAAAGTGTCAGAAACACATAACGCTACACTGTGAGTGATGAACTGCTGCCAATTGGCCAATGTAGAAACACATGCATAAAAATGTTTTTATACGTAGAACACACATGAGGCTTTTCAAAGTCTGTACACTTGAATTTAGATTGGACACATGTAATTGTGAAAAAAAACAACAACTCTGTATTCTTTGCATTTTTCTCAATAATCCCAAACTGTGGGAACATGCACACTTTGTTAATGACTTACTTTGTATTGAAGGTCTCTCAGATGTCAGGGTACTTAACTGTTTATCTTGAATATAATTTCAGATGCTGCAAGAGGGAGAAAAAGTGTCATCTGATTTCACCTGGTGGTAGTGCAGTTTCTAGTAAACCACCATAAAAAATAAGTTCTCAGATTTATAAAGAATTTTATTTGCTTTTCCACGCAATGGCCCTACAACACATAGCAAAGTTTTGGTCTGTTCGTCGCATGCCATCTTGCATTTTCCCTAGTCATCCTACTGCTGTTGCCTTGATAGTTCTGCTCATGATGCAGTCATTCTTTGTGCCGTGTGTGGAGTCGGCCTTTCGTCTTCCAATCAGACGCTTCAACAGTCACATTCACGTTAAACAGCACACAGAAAAGGAGGCTGGTGGTAGGGGCTCCTTCGGGTCCCTGGTTGTGTTGGAAAGAGATGTACTGTCCTCGGCTGCTCTTGGGGACATGAAAAACAACTTGAATGGTCTTTCAGGAGATGGCTACTACATTGATGTGGATATAGGCTCACCTCCACAGAGGGTAAGGGTTGCTTGAAAATGACTTGTGCCCTTGTTTCTATATTAATAACAAGTATAACAGTATAATTTGCTAAAGAAGCTAGGGTGTTGTTTTTAAAAAAATGCTGTTCACTTAATGATTAGCTTAGAATTACATTTATGTCATCTTGGGTTGATGAGGCATTCTTAAACTAGCATTGTGGTACAAATACTTATGTTCTTTGTTTGCATTTTCTTGAGAAATAAAATAAAGAGTTCTATCTATCTCCGATATAACAATTTTTTGTCTTGTGTATTTGATTGTCATTTGGAAGGATTGGGAAAATGCTGAGCCAAATTGTGTATTTTGTCACATTACTGAAGGAGTAGGGTTAAAGAAATTACTCTAGATCTTGTTATCTTGCAAATCCATTTCTTTTCATCTGTTTGGCATCTGGATGGAGGTGGAATGGGGAGTTTTTTTGTTATAATTATAATCTAACTTTTTTTAGTACTCTTTCCTTCTTTTTAAAAATTTTCAATGTAAAAAAAGAAAGGAACATAGCAGAAAGGGTGTGTGTGTGTGTTTCCCCCCCCCCCCCCCCCCTTTCTCTCTCTCTCTCTCTCTCTCTCTCTCTCTCTCTCTCTCTCTCTCTCTCTCCCCCCCCCCCTCCTGTTTCTCAAGCAGCTTTATGTAATGTAAGTTCACCCCATTTTCTTCTTGGTGCTACTACTTTTTCCATTACAAAAGTTAAATGTTGTTGCTTACATTTTAATATCTTTTTGTCTTCAGATGCAGATTCTGATAGACACAGGCAGTGCTAACTTTGCTGTCGCAGCAGAACAGAATGCTCAAATTACTCACTATTTCCACAGAGACAAGTAAGTTTTGCCCATTTTACCATTTAGTTGCCACTGTACTCCTGTTGATGGAAGGCTTTTTAGTTGGACTGTAGGTGGATTTTTGTAATGGAAAAATGAAAAAGTTTGTCTGTCTTATAAAGGACTGATTGGTGGTATCATGATTCTTCTCAATTTATGTTCTATTTTAAAGTTTATGTTGTGCCAATGAAGTACAATCCCTTTCATTCAGATAATGTTCTAAAGACTGAAAATAAATCTTTTGTTCCAGCATCTGTGGTGTAGTTGTTAGGCACTTTGCAATCACAGGTAGAGGCCTTAATGAGTTTGATACCTGGACAGTAAAAACCTTAATTGAGTCTTCATCTCTTTGCTGGGGTTTTATTCTCTCAGCCTGGGTTGGACCTAACAGGCAGGGTTTGTGCTAGGTATTGACATAGTTTCATATTAGTTTGGGAAAAAAATAGGTTTTGTTTTAATTTTTGACATGGCATCTTACTTCCTTCAGCTCCAGCACATACAGGGAGGATGGCAAAGACATATATGTCCCATACACAGAAGGGGAGTGGAGGGGGACTTTGGGGACTGACATTGTTTCTATTCCCTCGGCTCCCAATGTCTCTGCCGAGGTCAACATTGCCTGCATCACGTCGTCCAAGGATTTTTTCATTGAGAAGGCTCAGTGGCAGGGGATCCTCGGACTTGCATATGCAGACCTTGCTCAGGTATTCTTGGGATGGGTTCTACAATTTTTGGGGGGATAGGGGGGGGGGGTTTTCTGATGTTTTAAGTAACAATGTGTTCTTTTTCTCAGGTATTTACCGAACATGGTGATCACTGAAGTTATGGAAAGTCAGGTTGACAATGCAGATACGTCGTCAGATGTTTTTTGTACTTGTTTCCAAGTCACGGCTAAAATAGTTCAAATCAAATAAAAATTCTCCCTACCCGTGACAGCTTAACCCTTTGAGCCCTGTCGTCTTGGTGCTACCATACCTCTCTGCCTCCGCTCCTGAGCGATATATGTGAGGCAGCGTGGTGGAATCAGGCTCTCGTCAATTTTTGGGCTTGCAGAGTTATTGGTATCATCTTAAAGCTTGTTCTCTTGTCTTTATTTGGATGAAAAAAATATCCATTT